ATGAGAACAGTAAAAAAATTAATTTCCCAACACTCAGCAGAGAAAAAGAAAAGCAAAGAGCAACTAACCAGCTAAACAGGAACCTAACATACAAGCAAGCCTTAGTAAATAGTAACAACATTAATCGAAGCAATGATCAAAATGATCAAATAAGTGAGTTTCAAGTTCTAGCTAATGAAATGACGACATATATATCAGTGATGAAACTAATAGATGTCAGAAAGATGTTAGAATTAGTTAGGGAACTAAACAGTTAATGAACAGTTCAACGCCACTACAAAAATTCCAAATATTTTATTTAACTTTACAACTCAGCTCAATGATGACTAACCTAATATGTAGTTGGAATGCGAATGGTGTAAGAAACAAAATTTGTGACCTTACTGAATTTTTGAATAGACATAATGCTAAGAAATGAAACAAAACTCAGTACCAAAGATAAATTTAAGATAAGGAATTACAAAAGGAATTACAATTGTGAAAGTAGAACAATGCAGCTAGTGGTGTTGTAATACTTATTAGATATAATATACCATACAAATTAGTTAAAATTAAAGACAATACTGTGATGGAAAATGTTACCATTAAGCTAGATAATAATATGCATCTAACTGCAACTTACAATATGTTAGATATTGAGTGGAAAGACTTAGATTCTCTACTAAATATGGCAGGCAAGGTCCTAATTATTGGTGATCTAAATTGTAGACATACAGCTTGGAACTGTCATGTCAATAACCATAATAGACTTATATTATATAATTACAGCTAAACTGTAGCAATATAATGTATCCATATCAGTCTACTCATTACCCAACAAATGGTACTACACCAACTACCATAGACTTGGTATTAAATAAAAATGTAAGTAGTATATGTAAAATTCTAAATGAACTAGTATCAAACCACAAACCTATTATGTTAAAAATTGGTAAATGTAATGATCACGGCTCATATGAAAAAGAAAGCTATAATTATGCGAAAGCAGAATGGATAAAATACAAGAAAAAATTAATAAATAGTAGAATAGATACGAAGGAAGACCGATCAAGAAACTCAAAAAATAACAAATATAACAAACAACACTGGAAGAAACCGTACCGAAAGTAAAGCTAATGAAAGAAGAAGATAATCATATTAGAGATAATCATATTAGCCATTAAAGAGAAAAACCAAAACAGAAGACTATGGCAAAGGACAAAGGACCTGAGGTACAAAAACATCTCTAACAAGCAAACCCATCAGATTCGAAATTCAATACATGAGTACAGAAACTCCGTCTAGACTAAAAAACTCAAAAAACTCAATATACACAATAAAATCGCTCTAGAGAGAAATCAAAATGTTCAAAAGAAAGTATCACAACATCCCAGCACTAGAAGAAAACTCACAGGAGGCATTAACAAATAAGGATAAAACAGAAATGCTAGCAAACCAATATGAGAAAGTCCATAACATGGATCTTATGAGACCGTAATCATAGATTTTAGATAACACTGTTTAGAACAGAATATCTCCTTATATTTCACAAAATAATCTTTTCAAGCATCATAATTGATCATCTTATCATTATAATTTGAAGAATGCTTGAAGAAAAAAAAAGATTAAATAAATATATCATTCAATTAGAAAGAAAACTTTACAAATTCAGAAAATATTGCTGCAAAATGTTACAAAAGTTAAAAACTGAATATTCTTAAAGAAGCCATTAGATGTTTCTAAAGAAGTAATCTTCTTGACAAGCATTGCATTTGAGATAAAAGGAAATTGGTGTGGATAAAAAAATAAAAGCATTAAAGAATAAAAATATTCAAATTCATAATAATTGTATATAATCAGTATTATGCAATAAAGCATAATATTGACAGTATTACAACTGAGACTATGTATGTCTATAGGTATTAGAAAATTTATAAATTTTGGAATAATGGAAAACTAATTTAAATATTCCAAAAATTAAAAAAAAAAAATAAAAAGCTGAACATTAGCTAGATCATTCCTCGTTTCACTAAAATAACAACCCTAAACGTAAATCATATATAATTTAAGAACAGTTGTTATATGATACACGCTATATTTTATAAATACTTTTTTAATCTCCCAATCAAAGGAATGAAGCATATATGGAATGAATTAAAATGTCATTTACAGAAATATGTTTTCATGATAAAATAATGTTTTTAACACTAATAAACAATTTTAAAAATATTAATTGTAAATATTTATTTACTAGAATAAACTTAATATATGATTACTTTTTCTCTGTTGACTTCTTTCTGTATTAAAACTTTCCATGTATTTGGTATTTAAATTGATTATAAATAAAATTATTGGGATATGCCTTTTTTGAATACTGTATGGATATATGTATGATATATGAACACGTGTGAAATTTACAATCAGTTTTAAGAGATTGTGAACTAAGTAAAATGTTTTTTTCTCTTAAAGTATAACTCAATAAGGCCAATCAAATGACATATTATTTGTTGATCGAGTTGTTTCTTAGGGATATGTCGAATAAATTTATAGTTTCTAAAATTACTTTTACTTTGTTTTAAAGCAATTTTCCAGATTTTATTTCACACAAGATTATGTATTATGAATTATTTAAATGATTTCGACAATTAAAATTTAATGATAAAACAAAATTTCATCATTAACTGAAATTAATAGTAATAAATTAATAGTAATTAATAGAAATTAATAGTAATAAATTATTATCGTTACTCACCACGTGTTCAATACTGCCGAAATACTGTAAAAATAACTGTTCCCTACTAGTTTCGAAAAATTCCCACATTTTAATTTAAGTAATTTATTACATCAAAATTAATATCACTTTTAAAATATTACAACTTTGTACATTTTTTATATTAACGCGTAATTTCCGTTGTCCGTCTCTAAACTCTCTGATTTCGAACATACGTATTTACTAAAATGTTGCCATGTCACGTGGCGACCTCTATTTCCACTCATTGTCAGTTATCCCACCAAAACATATATTTATCCTTTACGCGGCACTTTTTTTACGCGAGTCTTTTTTACGCAGTAAATGATAACACACGCGGTACTTTTTATACGCATAAAAAACATCGGTAAGACAATACTTAATTTAAACATATGGACGTTAAAGTCAGTATTAAACAATCGGCCTTAGCAACGATATATTATTCAATACACAATAAGTAACCAACGTTTTTACTGCACTGTTCAAATTTATACTTTATATTGTAATTTTAACCCAGATTTATACTTTATATTATTTAACAAACGTTCAATAACACGAAGAAAGAAAAAATTTATCTTTGGATGTGAAAATAAAAATTACACATCCAATTTTCATTCGCGTAAAACAAATCCACCTGGAACGGATACTCCACGTAAATGGCAAGATGTACATTTCCTCTAATGGTCAATTATTGACGTTACAATCGATAGTTATCGATGATTACATTACTATTGAAAAATATCGATAATTCATTTACATTATTTAAAAATCATTTATATCATTTCATACTATTAAAATCGTGGATAAGTAATAGTAAAAAATACTATTAAAAATATAGGTATATATTTGTTATAATAATTTCTAACATCGTAAATAATTATATTGTAACTTTTATTATAATAAGTTGATAATGATTTGTTATAAAGCATTTCTTTGTTGTTATCGTAACAAAAGAAAATCGTCAAATAAAAATATTTTGCTTTCACAAACAAGCACACAACAAAGAGATATACAATTTTGTCCTCTGACTTTTGCTTTAAAACAAAACTCTTAAGAATACTTCAATCTATACAATTGAGTTAACTATCATTTTTCAAGCTTTCAAAGTTGCTCACAATAATTCGTATCAAAGAACTTTAGTAATTATGGATTTCAAAAGTACAATAGAAGCTATCAAAAATCTAATAACGATATCATTCTTCAAATTCTTGAAATCCATCATAAAATCTTCATGAAAGGGAAGAAAATAAAACATATAGATCTTTGGCCATGCAGGAATTTCTGGCAACGGAAAAGCAAACCAAACTGCCAGAGAAACCGCTAATCTAGGAACAACGACACGACAGATTAAATAACGAAGCGAAAAAGAAACTACTAGTACAATGAGAAGTTGAATGAAAGCAGAAGGCTTTTCTGTGCATTAAAATATCACCGAAAACTTTTTCGAAAACTATAAAAAGAACGCTTTATCCAGAAAAGATTAAGTCGTCATCTCAAAGATCAGAATTAGTATTGGTATTGGTCATGGAAAACGTACTGACACTTATTTGCAAATCCTGTAGAATTCTTTTATGCAATAGTCATTGTTTTACGATTTATCACACGAAGCAGAAATATTAAATTTTATTTTTCCACTTCTTTTTTCAAGATACATGTCACATGTTTTTAAATAAACATAATAACAACAAATAGATTACTTGAACCATACGTATTTTAGGTGTTGATTTCTTTGAAATTTGAACTATACGTATTATAGGTGTTGATTTCCTTCCACCTTTGAATCAACAGTCAATCTTAAAAATAAAAAATTAATGAATTTAAATACATTAGCAACTCAAGGAACAGTGAAACGAGCTAACACTTTAGAAATTTCTACCATGAATTTTAATGGTGTATTAAATGAATTTATAGAAATAACAAGAACCAAATTTCAACAACAAATCACTACAAGTGAATGTTCAATGAATCATTATATTATTACAACAGGTCAATCAGTAGCATCTAACGATGATTATCAGGTAAAAAAATTAAAAGCAGCAAAAGAAAAAATAGACTTATTAGAACAAGAAATCATTCGTCCATTAAACAGTGTCCTTGAGGACGTCATTGCTTTGCTCAACTAGATCATCGCCAGAACATCACTTCAGAAGATTTTAAAACTGGATTTAAAAATGTTTCCATCCAAATAGTCCAAGCTTTAAGCTACCCCAAGATATTCAGCAGCGCCTGCAATATCTTGTAAAAGTTATTTTTGTTTAATATCATTGTCTTTCAGTGGCCATTTTGTAATAGCAAATGTTCTCATCAAGAATATATGTAAATCATTCTTTCTTCAAAAATAATTCAAGAAGAACAAAAAGAAGCAGTACTACTTTGAAATGAAACCTCCGTCAACCTTCAACAATTAATTATAAATAATAATAAAATTTTTGTAAATATGTCAACAGGATATGTTCGAGCATATATACCCAACTTATTGGCGAGATGCATTTGATATAGTATACAGTCTGTCATATTGTCAGCCAGCGACCGAATTATGTCCAAAATCCTTAAAGAAAAATACGTCTGGCCTGGTATTTGAAAAAATGCAATGGTCTCGTGAATGTATCCTATACCAAATATCAAAAATAAACAAACATATAAAATTACATCCATATACATTTAGATATAATTCACATGTCAGAGGTAAAAGGTCATAAATACTGTTTAACAATAATTGATAGATTTTCTAGAATCCCGATAGCTATACCGTTAAAAAATATTGAAATAAATACAATTACAAATGCAAATAATGGATTAGTCTTTTTGGCACACCATTAACAATAACAACAGATTAAAGATCTTGATTTGAAAGCGCCTTATTTATAGCATTAGCAAATACTATCAGAGCAAAAGAATAAGAACTACACCATATCTATACCATCCTGTCACTAGTGGCTTAGTAAAAAGATGGCACCTAAATCTCAAAACAGCATTAATGTTCAATGCAGACATCCCATAGATCGATGTGCTTTTAACAGCAGTTTTAGGAAATCAATTTATAAATAAAATATTAAAGTTAAAAAATTATATGAATTAATGAATATTATATGAATTAATAAATTAATTATATGAATATGAATCAATTTCAGTTCATATATCAATATGAATTCCCGGAAATTTTTTTTATTCATTAGACTTAGTAATAGATCCAGAAATTTTCATAGAAAAACATATCATGTGAACATTTAAATCAATCCCAACAAGTCATATCAAAGCCAATATGTTTATACACAAAAATATGAATGTACTTATGTATTCTTGAAGTGCAATGAAATAAGACCATTAAGAACACTGTACTCAGATCCACACAAAATTAAACAAAGATTAAATGATCAGAGATTTATTATACTTGTCAATAGAGAAGAAAAAACTATTTCAGTAGAAAAATTAAAACCAGCATTTCTAGCAGAAACAGATTTCTAAATAGAAGATAATCAGAAACTAGATAAAAGCAACTCCCATCCAACAAACGAATATAGGACTCAAAACACTTTCCATTCGCTCCAAATATGAACTTCATGCAATAAAATTGAGAGGAAGTGCATTTTTAACACAAGCTTGATAGCAGCAATGTCTATTATATCTTATTACAAAAGAAGAAGAAAAATAAACTAAAATGTATTATAATTTCAATTGTTAAGAATCAAGCAAAACAAGCGGTCGGTATAAACATTTCATTATACATAAAATAAATAGTACTTATTGTGGTTTTTTGTTAATTCTCATAATATATTTATTAAAAGAAGTAAACCTCTGCACAATACGAATGTATGTAATAGATATATGTATGGTGTATTCCAAAGCATGTGAAAAGAAACTACAATTATACATACAAGGATAACAGACCCTAACCAGATACAGGAAGCGAATATTTCAAGACTTCCAATCCAGAAAAATCCCTGTTTTTGAAAATTTATACATCTACTCAAAAACATAATTACCTGGATATGTCAAGCGCGTTCAGTCTAAAAGAATCGTTGTTCAAAATCCAGATGATAGAGAACGTCAACTGAGCAAAGCTTAAATCACATAGCTTAACTCATATACTCTGGTACTGTTCATTACTGAAGTGACATCAAACATCTAAAGATCATGAAACAGTAAGTCATTGAATTCATCTTGATATCAACTACAAGACTACGATACTCAAAAATGTATAATGCAATTTAAAAAAAATTAAGGTGAAGTTTTTTACATTGTAGTTTGTAAATTCATTCAATGATGATTAACTTTTATTTGAAACATTTTTTTTGTTAGATTACCAAAAGTGTCTGAAAAATCGTAGCAGCAGTTATGTAGAATATTTTACATATCCTATGTTGCGAATCCTACTCGTGATTAATAATCTAACCATGTCTTTTGATTTTTATACATAGATAATCCTTTTATTTTAAAGGATAAAATTTTCAAAAAAAGAGGTGACAGAAGATACATTTTTAAATTCTATAAAATCCCGAAGTTAAAAACCTTTTACATAACAATATTCAAATATTATAACACAATGAAAAAGATTCAAATAGCATGTATTTAATTTGATTAATACTGATTAAAAGTAAGAACGTATTTATTTCAATCACTTCATATGTTACAACTTAATAATATTATAACTTGCGAAAATTCTAATAATCCAAATTTGTTTTTTGCAATATTAATTATTATGATAATAGATATATTTCTTTATTAAAGATTCTTTTTATCAGAAACAAGAAACAAATTATTTGTTTCTTTTGTTTCTTTTAAATTGTTCAAAAATATTAAATAAAATATATTAGCTTGTGTAATAAATTCGTTCGCATTACCTTAACGATGATGTTAATGTGTATTATTTGGTTATTCTTTATAAATAAATTAAGTAATTTAAAAAATTTTAAAAAAATTGTATGTACATAATTTGTGTATCTCTTCGTTCTTTGAATTATAATTATAGAAGATTTTCCGTATACTGAAATGATTAATATTTTATTATACATAATATATTTAGTATAGTAAACTAAATGAACTATACTAAATTGAACTTAAGTCGTTAATCGCAAATCCAGTATTTTTTGTAATAACAAATAATTCTTTTAATATTTTAATATTATCGATTCGATATATTCACAAATTTATGTTATACTTTAAATTTCTATTTTGTAAATAACACACTTACTGTATTTTGTAATCCCTCTATTCAACGTGGATCGATTATGTACATATGTATTTTGTATTATATATTATGTCCATATATGTAACTGAGATAAACTATCTTTCAAACAGATATAGGGATAGAAACAAATATTTTAGGTAAAAATGAAATGGCATCCAATAAAGTATAATCTAAAAATAATTTCTTTTTTTATGCATCAATGGACCTGAAAAATGCAGTTGCATCTTCTTTTTTATAAAGAATTATTTATATATTATATAATATATTTTTATATTACATATTATATAATATTCTGAACTATTAGATTCAAGGCATAAGCGTTAATACTTTTTCATATAGTTTCAGAAACTGCATCGATTGGCGACAATCAAAATTATAAGTTTTCATAGGAAAAAAAGGTGCAATTATATTTCCTGCTCGTCCAGTTATGTGGGACACATTGTTCTCTATTCTCTATTGCAGATGATATAAAGAACAGTTTCTACAATACATATTCTTAACATTCTGAAAAATGTAACACCAAATGGCGCACGAATTTATTACACAACTTAATATAAAAAGAAGAGTTATTGTTAAGGACAAAAAGTAGAAATAAAAGAGAAAGAATATATTACGTACCAAGACCCTTGCTGAGACAAAAAGTTACTGAATCGAAACCAGAAACAATCTCCTTTGCAGATATTCCTGATCCTACACTAGCATTCCATAATCTAGCTCCATCCATGTGCAACTTCAAATTATATTTCTTGCAGAATGATACTAATTCTTTAAGCCAACTTTGTGGAACAATTTTACCATTAATTGTATTTTCTACAAGTACTAATTTGGAGATAGGCTCGTGATCTCTATCATGTCGGAGTTTGGATTGAAGTTCACAAAGATCAAAAGTGCCATCGATATTATTGCGTAATGATCTAAGATTCACTCCTGCAATTTGGGCAGCACCAGTCTGTTCGTGTAATAAGATATGAGCAGAATCACCACAATATGCTTCACTTCCACGAACATTGCAATGGTTCATTACTACAATTTTAAAAAATAATTAAATAGATTAAATAACTAGTTGTTTCAATAGATTAATTGAATTTTCTTTACAATTAAAGTAAAACTTAAATAAATAAATGCATTTTGGCATAGTTGGTATAGTTGGTATAGTTCAAGAATTAATAATTATAACTATAAAAAAGTAATATAATTATAATAAAATTAATATAATAATAAGTATAATAATTAATAATTAATACAGTATAAAAGATGCATTTCATTTAATCGCATTTTTTACAAATGGTTGATATTTAGAGCAAACATTAAACATATTATTACAAATGAATGATGTATACTAAAAATAATTATTGATAACAAGAAAAATAAGAATATCATTCAATTATGTATCAAAAGAAAGTATTTATTTAAAACATTCAAATATTGGAATCTCAAACAAAGAATTAGATTTTAATTTTTGGAACCTAATGAAGTAAGCAGATAACTTAGTTATCTAAAAATAATATTTCAAATGACTTAAAAAAATTCAATTTGTTTGAATTGTTTAAGTGATTGGAATGTAGATTTGTTAACATTTAAGCTATAGAAATTTAAATAATAAACTGATATAAAAAATCAAGTAAAATTCGAATAAATTGAATTTTTCTAAGCTAGTTGATAGATTTTGAATTCCCAAAAATTCTAAATTAATAATATTGCATCGTTTTTTTATTTTTATTTAAATATGATGTACATTAAATATATATATATTTGAATATTTTAGATATCTGATTTTAGGAGAAAAATTATATTTTTTTAATATTATATTTATATAAACATAAAATTACATTTTTTTCTAATGAAAACTATTATCTAAAATAATTCGTTATCTGTTGCTTAGAAAATTTAGAAAACTATTATATAAAATTATTATAAATACAAAATTATTTATGCATACATACATCATTTGTTATATAAAATTCGTTTAAAACATTTCTTGTTACAACCAGATAATAAATTATTTTAGATAATAATTTAAAATGATTCATAGAAAATATAAGGTGTTAGTCAATCTTACATGGAATGAGTATGAACAAATTTATCAATCCAAATATAGATTTTGTAATAGCAAAAATGAACAGAATTTCATGGCAAGTTAGAGATGTGATTTTTTTCAAATTTTCATAATAAATTAAAATAATGATCTGTCAAAAATTGTCATTCAACAATTATATAAAAATATTTATTAGTGCAAAGGTTATGAAGACGACATATATATGTATTAAAAATCAACAATTGATATCTAATTGTAAGACGAAATTCTATAAGACTACATATTAATTAAAAACTCTTAGTGAAGAAAGTACATAATTAAAACAATGGGAAAAAATGAAATTCAAATTACAATTAATAAATTA